GCGCCGCCGCGCTTCCCAAGCGGCGCACTATCCAGTGCGCCACCGGGCCGGCCCCAGGAACACTAATTCTAAAGAAAAAAAAAAAAGTCTCAAGGGAGAGCAATTGAAATGGACAGCATCCCAATAAGTAGCCAGCACTCTGTTTTGATCGTATGTCCCTGCATGGATTTTGTATGTTGGGTCAGAGATGGAGTGACTAAAACAGCAGGTTGGCTGCCTTACAGACACTCCGGAGGCCCAGTGTACTGGGGAGGGGGCTCCCAAGCCTGAGGCAGGACATCACGTCATGCATGTCTCAGCGCCATCACTCCCTCTCTTCAGGAGGGCTTCGAATCAATCATTTTGGACATTAAACAAAGAGGACCATGTAGAGGACAGTACTCAGTGCTGGCAAGGACGCAGTGAAACGGGATCTCTGATTCTTTACTAGTAGATATGTAAAGGAGTGTAAGCCTTTCATAAGCTACTTGGTGGCACGTGTCAAAAATTGTTTAAAAGCACACACCCTTTCACACAATATTTCCAATAATGAAGTTGTGCCAATGAAGCGATCCAAAATATTTTTAAATGTTTTAGTTATACAATCTATCATCACAAAACTATTTCCGTTAGTGAAAAATTGGAAGCAACTGAAATGCCCAACAGTGACTTATAATCATGTATAACCATGAGAATAACTATCTTGCAGATGTTTTAACTTATAGTTACTAAGACTGTGTAACAACATGGGTTTCAAAGCAGGGAGGAAATGACATGAATGCTATAGTTTTATCTACGTGTAATAATATACACAGAAAAATAACTAGTGAGGAAATCTGCAAGTGGCATAGTTGGCTCTCACGGTAGAATGATGGACACTTCAAGCTACTGTATTTAAAACTATGTTGTGGTTTTGTTACTTTTATAATGTAAAACATTTAATAAAGAGAAAAAACTAAAATAGGAATTTTGAATCTAGATCTTCCGAGATTTTAGAAATACAATAGGATAACAACTAAGCACTGGGAAAAATCAATCAAACAAACAAACAAACCTAGCAGTGAGGGGTGCAGAAGTGAGGTGTGCTGTCTGCGTGGATTATGACGTGAGTAGAAATAAGCCAATCCCATGGAAGGGGTGGCTGCCTCTCAGTGCTTTCCACAGACCACTGCAGTAAAACGTGCCACCAGCACAGCAAAGTCTTGCGGGGGGTGGGGGGGCTTCCTCAAGGTATCTTCCTTGATCCCTTTCTCTTAGACAGTCTGAAGGTGTGAGTGAGTGGTATGCAGTGAGGCTGGAGAAGGTTCTCAGTATTGTGAGGACTGACTCTTACTGTCATCTCTGCTAAAATACCTAGTGTGACTGGCGACACTGTCCAAAGTAGTATTTCAGCTTTGAAATGCACCAAGCTCTCGTTCTTGGAGAGAACTGACTTTGATTGAGCATGTCCTCTATGCACTACCTCTGTTGGATGCACAGCAACCCTTGCAGTGAGGTATTCCCACTTTACAGATGAGGGAACCAAAGCTGAGTAAGCTGCCCAAGGAGACAGCAAGTCAGGAGCAGGGAGTCCATGGGCCTGGATCTGTCTGACTCCAGAATCTTTGGCTCTTCTCCAGGCCAGGCCAGCCCTGGACAAATCTCCTCATCTCCTAAGGTCCTCAGACAGTGTTCTGCCCCATCTCTTTTCAACTTGTCTCTCCTCCAGCCTGCACAAGGCAGGCCAGGCATTCTCCAACTGGATGCAGTCCCTGCACCTAGCACAGTGCCTAGTGGGGTATTTATTTATTGAACACACCAGTCAAGACCTGCCCCCATTCTTTCCTTTCTCCCACAAGGGTCTGGAAAAGTGCAGGATGTAATAGGATGGGAGTCAACCTCATTCATTCATGGCCAGTCAATGGCCTGTTGGTTTAGTCTAGAAAGCTCCTAGAACAAATTATGCAAGCACAAATAAGAGAAAAAGATAGTACTGCTTTGGGCCCAAGATGATAACTGCCAATACTTAATAATATACCTGCCCATATCTGNTTTTAGAAATACAATAGGATAACAACTAAGCACTGGGAAAAATCAATCAAACAAACAAACAAACCTAGCAGTGAGGGGTGCAGAAGTGAGGTGTGCTGTCTGCGTGGATTATGACGTGAGTAGAAATAAGCCGATCCCATGGAAGGGGTGGCTGCCTCTCAGTGCTTTCCACAGACCACTGCAGTAAAACGTGCCACCAGCACAGCAAAGTCTTGCGGGGGGGGGGGGCTTCCTCAAGGTATCTTCCTTGATCCCTTTCTCTTAGACAGTCTGAAGGTGTGAGTGAGTGGTATGCAGTGAGGCTGGAGAAGGTTCTCAGTATTGTGAGGACTGACTCTTACTGTCATCTCTGCTAAAATACCTAGTGTGACTGGCGACACTGTCCAAAGTAGTATTTCAGCTTTGAAATGCACCAAGCTCTCGTTCTTGGAGAGAACTGACTTTGATTGAGCATGTCCTCTATGCACTACCTCTGTTGGATGCACAGCAACCCTTGCAGTGAGGTATTCCCACTTTACAGATGAGGGAACCAAAGCTGAGTAAGCTGCCCAAGGAGACAGCAAGTCAGGAGCAGGGAGTCCATGGGCCTGGATCTGTCTGACTCCAGAATCTTTGGCTCTTCTCCAGGCCAGGCCAGCCCTGGACAAATCTCCTCATCTCCTAAGGTCCTCAGACAGTGTTCTGCCCCATCTCTTTTCAACTTGTCTCTCCTCCAGCCTGCACAAGGCAGGCCAGGCATTCTCCAACTGGATGCAGTCCCTGCACCTAGCACAGTGCCTAGTGGGGTATTTATTTATTGAACACACCAGTCAAGACCTGCCCCCATTCTTTCCTTTCTCCCACAAGGGTCTGGAAAAGTGCAGGATGTAATAGGATGGGAGTCAACCTCATTCATTCATGGCCAGTCAATGGCCTGTTGGTTTAGTCTAGAAAGCTCCTAGAACAAATTATGCAAGCACAAATAAGAGAAAAAGATAGTACTGCATTGGGCCCAAGATGATACCTGCCAATACTTAATAATATACCTGCCCATATCTTTGGCCCAACTTGTCCCCTACCCAAGATCAAGTGCCTATATGCTTTCCTACCAATCCATGCTCTTTGGGCCCAAGATGATAACTGCCAATACTTAATAATATACCTGCCCATATCTGTGGCCCAACTTGTCCCCTACCCAAGATCAAGTGCCTATATGCTTTCCTACCAATCCATGCTCTTGACATTTCTGACTTTCGAAGCCCAAACCCCAAATATTCCCATAAAACAAGTTCCAGATTTGGGAGATGGTGGTGGTGGTGAGCCCTGAAATGCCAGCAGTAGTGAGAATAAGTGTGCTGGCAGCATTAGCTGCCCGGGCCACGGGCTACAGGCAGGAGTGTTCTGGGGCAGAAATGAGATGGATGACCCTTTCCTGACTCATTGTGCCTGTATGTGTGGGGGTGCATGTGCAGAGAAGAGGGGAATGTGTTTGGCAAGGAACCAAAAGCCCTCCAATCAACACAACCACAGGCCAGGGAGGTAGGGAAAGGTATTTTATGGGCTTGGCTAGAAGAGCTACTGCAGTCACAGGAGGAGCCCTCAGTTTCCTGTGGGTGCAGCCCACCACCGCTGCCCCCCTTTCCTTTTCCCTTCCTGCCTCAGGGTCAGGGTCCCAGTCACCTCTATTCTTCCTGGGATTCCTTGGCTATGGAGTTGGGTGAAACCAAACTGGAAAATATGGCCTTTCTTGGCGTCACCATGGCTGTGCTCTTGATCGTGGTCAGCCTCTCCCGGGTGAGCTGGCATTTTCTTAGGCAAGCCGCACACAGATCCTTTTCCTCCACCAGATATAAGTTGTCCAGCCTCTTGATAGAATCTATGAACGTGTCTGATTCCTCTGCCTTTGGAAAGGGGTTCCTCTTGGTGTTGAGCTTTTTCAGCTTGGGGAGCTTAGAGATGCTGGTGGGGATGGTGTTCAGCAGGTTGTCATGGAGACCCACTTCATGCAGCTCCTTCAGGGCTCCCAGGGTGGTGGGCACACTGTCCAGGTGGTTCAAGCCTAAATTCATGGTGCGTATATTCCTGAGCTGGTTCAGCTCCACGGGCAGTCCATTGGTGGTCAGCCTGTTGTTACTGACATTGAGGTAGAGCAGTGTGGTCATCTGGCCGATGGACTCAGGGAGCCTGTCAATGTAGTTGCTGTGCAGGTCCAGCCATCGCAGGTTCTGGAACTTAGCGATTGAGTCAGGGATCTTCCTGATCATATTCCGGCTAAGATCGAGCTCATCCACATCATTGAGTCGCAGAATACACATGGGAAAGGTGGTAATTCCCATCTTGCTCAAGTCAAGACGTTTTCTCCCATCAAATGTGATTTTGATGCAATTCTTGGCCATATTGAAGGTGATCTTCTTGCCCTTGGTGACTTTCCCACCCTTGGCCATGTTCTTTCAGTAAGGGAGTATGTTTGACGTTGTTCCGATTAGATGGTAATCAGTTTGAGGAAAAAGTCACATGGAACTGCTAGAAGATAAACTCTGGTAAGGACAGAAGAGAAACATCTAGTTAGGAGGTGGTGTAAGGGTACTGGATTCCCCCCACATCTTGATGCTTTTCTCTCTATTGGTTTAAAAAGAGAAAGAGGATAGTGCAGAGAAGTCAAACATCAGCAGAAGTAACCCAGCAAAAGATCTTCAGCAAAATGCATGCCCTCAACTTCGGTTTTCCTAGATGTAAAAGAAATCAGACATCAGCAGACGTAACCCAGCAAAAGATCTTCAGCAAAATGCATGCCCTCAACTTCGGTTTTCCTAGATGTAAAATGGAAGGTGCAAATTTGGCCTGAAAGATGCTTAATGTCTCCCTACCTTGCCATTCTCTGACTTATGAATCTCCCATTGTCCTGGACCTCCACGTATGCACCTCTCCCAGGGCTGTGTGTGTGTGTGTGTGTGTGTGTGTGTGTGTGTGTGTGTGTGTGTGTGTTCTTGGATATCTGCCACTTCCCAGATCCCCACATAACTCTAGGGTTTCCTTAGAGTTATCACATGAGTTCCTAGGGAGGGCTGCTGAGATCCCAGAAGCAACATAAGCCTGGATATGAGGGAATAGTGTGGAAGTTAAGAATGATTTATTACATCTCTCTTCACTTTTGGACCCAGAGGAGGTAGTGAGGCCTCGGCTTCTGTAACTGCAGAGCAGCAGGAGCAGACAGAACAGTCTTCTGATCACCCGGGAGTTTCAGGGCATGCCTACACTGTGCCCCTAAGCCCCCCACTCCTCTCCAAGAGCATGGAGGGGGCCAGGGCTGGGCCTGGCAAAGCTTAAAGCAAATGCTGCCTCTTTCCACCTTCTACTCCTTTCTCATCCTCCTCTTACATCCTTCACACTGAAATTCGACTGTAACCCCCTCTGCATGGGTAGGCTTGATGATAGTTAATGACTATTACCGTATGGAGAAGTAGAATGTAGAGGGTGATGGTAGATCCTGGCCTCAAAATGTTTGGTTTAGAAGTCCAGCTCTGCTACTAGCAATTTTCTTAAATTCCCAGTGCCTGAGTTTCCTCATTTGTGAAAACGGCTCCTTATAGAGAGCCCTTGGGAACTGTATATTATCTAATACTGTAATGTACTTATCACAGTGGCTGGCACATGGTAAAAGCTTGATTAATGTTAGTTATTAAATATTGTTGCAAGGAACATTACACATATTGTTTCTAATCTTCAGCAATCCAATAAAACACATAGAGTTATCCCTATTGTAAAGAGACAGAGGCTGAAGGTCAGAGGGTCCCACCACCCTGTGCAAGTCCTACTGGATCACAGCCTCCTGGGATGGATGGTGGTCTCCATAGTAAATCAATGGAAGTATTCTCAGCTTTCAGCAGCACCAATGTTCTTCTGAACAGGTCTTATAAGATGATCCTATTCTGTAGAAATGGATCTGCCACATTCAGGCAAAGCTGGCTGGTTACCAGAGACAGTTCTATGTTCGTCAGTATGCAAGTTTCTAAATCATTCAGCTCTGACGAACCAGATGGGATAAAGCAGCTTAAAAAAGAAAGCTGGGGTTCCACTTACAGTTAAGATGGAGTAAGCGTAATTTGCCCTGCCTCACCCATTGAAGTCAACTAAAGACCTTAGGCAGAATGCACAGAGAAACGTTCTGAGGACTCTGAAGACAAACGGTATCAGGTGGATTGGAGGAGCGATCCATAACTCAAAGGAAGACCAACCTGGCAGCAAGTTTCATGAATCCTCCCCTTCACCCGCCCCCTCCCCTGCCAATCATATCTCTTGGCTTGGACTCAAAGGCAGCCCCAAACACAAAGCTTTGCACCATACCATGCAATCACTAAAGGAAAGCTGGGGTGATTTTATTAATATTTGACAAAGTATATTTCAGAGAAAAAAATTTACCTGAGAGTAAGAAGAATATTACTCAATAATAAAAGGGACACTTTACCAAGAAGACAAAAACAACCCTAAGTGTTATGTACCTAACAACAGGGCTTTGGTGTAAATGAAGCAAACACTAATAAAACTGATAGGAGAAAATTGCATTTGGAGTTGGGGATATCAATACTTGTCTCTCAATAATCAATAGAACAGGTAGAGAGAATCAGCAAGTGTTTTAGTCCGTTTTGTGTTGCTATAACAGAATACCTGAAACTGGGTAATTTATAAAGAAAAGAGGTTTATTTAGCTTACGATTCTGGGACAGCTGCATCTGGCACGGGCCTCAGGCTTCTTCTCCTCATGGCGGAAAGTGGCAGGCAACCGGTGGGTACAAGCAGATCACATGGCGAGAGGAAGCAAGAGAGAGCAACCGGCGGGTACAAGCAGATCACATGGCGAGAGGAAGCAGGAGAGAGGAAGCAAGAGAGAGAGAGAGAAGGTGCCAGGGTCTTTTTAAGCAATGAGCTCTCACGGGAATTAATTGAGTGAGAACTCACTCATTAATCCCCCTTCCCCAGGGAGAGCATTAATCCATTCATGAGTGATCCGCCCCCATGACTCACTCAGTTTCTAACACTGCCACATTGGAGATCAAACTTCCACATGAATTTTGGAGGGGACAACACATCCAAACTCCATCAGCAAGGAACAGGGTTTCTCAGCCTTGGCTCTATTGACATTTTGGCTCAGTTTCTAACACTGCCACATTGGAGATCAAACTTCCACATGAATTTTGGAGGGGACATCACATCCAAACTCCATCAGCAAGGAACAGGGTTTCTCAGCCTTGGCTCTATTGACATTTTGGGCCAGATAATTCTTTATTGTTAGCAAAGGCATGGTTGTTGATGAGGGGGAAAGTCTGTCCTGAGCATTGTAGGGCCAGATAATTCTTTATTGTTAGCAAAGGCATGGTTGTTGATGAGGGGGAAAGTCTGTCCTGAGCATTGTAGGATGTTTAACAGCACAAGGCCAGAGATTCTACCCATTAGGAGCCAGCAGCTGCCCAGTATAGTTAACAATTTAAAAATGTATTTATAAATAATCCATGAATTAAAGAAGTCTCAAGGGAAATTAGAAAATATTTTGAACTGAGCAAAAATGAAAATACAACATATCAAAATTTGCAGCATGCAACCAAAGCAGTGATTAGAGGGAAATTTATAGCTTTAAAGGCTCATATTAGAAAGGAAGAAAGATTGAAAGTCAATAATATAAACTTTTACCTTAAGGAAGTAGTAAATAAGAGCAAATAAACCTCCAGCATGCCCAAAGGGGAAATAATGAAGAGCAGAAATCAATAAAATTGAAAGGAGAAAATAAATGAAACTAAAAGCTGGTTCTTTGAAGAGATTAATGAAACTGATAGCTAAATTGACAATGAAAGAGGGGGGGAGGGAGGGAGGGGGAGAGAGAGAGAGAAAAGAGAGAGAGAGAGAGAGAGGGAAGGAGAGGGGGAGAAAGAGAGAGAGACAAGTTATGAATATCAGGAGTCAAAGAGAGGATTCACTAAAACCCACACACATTAAAGGCATATTAAAGGAATAATACAAACAACTCCAGAAAAAAAAAAAGTTAACAAAATTGACTATAAATTACCAAATCTCTCTATGAGGGAATAGACAACCCAAAGTAGACCTATATTTATTAAAGGAATTGAATTTGTATTTGTAAACATTACAAAAAATAAAATTCCAAGCCGAAATGGTTTTATGATTAAATTCTATAAAATATTTAAAGAAGACTGTCTTAGTCCACTTGGGCTGCTATAACAAAGTACCATAGACTGGGTGGCCATACAAACAGAAATTTGTTTCTGACAGTTCTGGAGGCTGGAAAGTTTAAGATCCAGACACTGGCAGATTTGATGTCTGGTGAGGACCAGCTTCCTTATTCACAGACAGCTGTATTTTTGCTATGTCCTCACATAGTAGTAAGAGGGAAGGAGAGTTCTCTGGGGTCCCTTATATAAGGGCACTAATTTCGTTCATGGAGTCTCCATCCTTATGATCTAATTTCCTGCCAAATGCGCCACCTCCTAATACCATTACATTGGGGATTAGGGTTTCAACCTGTAAGTTTAGGGATGTGGCATAAACATTTAGTTTGTTGTAAAGATGTAACTCCAATTTTATATGACCTTTTCCAGAAAATAGAAGAGGAAGCAATTCTAAACTTATTTTCTGTGGCTAGCATCACCTTGATACTAAAATTACACAGACAGTATAAGGAAAGAAAACTATAGACCAAAATCCCTTATGAACATAGACATGAAAATCTTCAACACAATATTAACAAATTGAATCCAGCAATATATATAAAAAGAATAATAAATGACAACCAAGTGGGAATGCAAGGCTGACTCAATATTTGGAAATCAGTCAATTGTTAATACCATATTAGCAGACTAAAAAGAAAAAAATACATGATCATATGAATTGATACAGAAAAAAACACTTGACAGACTTAACATCCACTCATAATAAAAACTCTCAGCAAACCAGTAATAGAAAGCCTCTTCCTTAACATGATAAAAGGCATCCATTAAAAAAATCTATAGCTAATATTTTACTTAGTGAAGGACTGAACACTTTCCCCCTTGTGTGGGAACGAGGCAAGAAGTTACACTCTCACTATTCAATAGCATATTGGAAATTCTAGCCAGTGCAACAATGCAAGAAAAATAAATATAAGGCATACACATAGAAAATAATGAAATATAACTGTCTCTATGCACAGATGACATGATTCTCGACACAGGAAATCCCACAGAATTTTAAAAACACTCTTGGAACTAATAAGTGAGTTTGGCAAGGTTGCAGGATGCAGGGTTAACACATAAAACCCCCACTGCATTTTTTTAAAAACATTTTTATTAGCATATTCATTGTTACAAATCATACTTATTCTTTATGTCCTTTATCCAGTCTCTCCCCTTCCCCCTCTCCTCTACCCCTGCCCCTCTAATAGCCATAGATTTGTTCTC